TAGGAAAGTCACATCAATGAGACAGGATATGGTAGGTTTTGTGGTCATTAGTGTTTATTTAGAACACCATTGCATTCTTTCTGCATGCCAAGCAAGTTCTGGTTCAAAGTTTGGTTCAAGCTGTCACTGCTCCCCACTTACTCAGTCATAAATGTAACATGCTTCTCTTTTCTTGCTATGAGTTTGCTCAACTCCCACTCATCATGAGTCCACAAGAATTCTGTGCTCACAGGGAACCACAAACATTATTTGTAGTAGATGGGACAGCAAGGAAAGGTGAACACACATTTTTCATGTACGTATCTCCTCCTCTCACACACATGCTCCATTGTCCCATCGAACTTCACTTAAAATAACACAAGTGAAAAGATAAGATTTTTCAGAATTTCAAGATACTGACAGCAGAACAACAAAACAAGCACAAGGTCCTTCTAAGCATGGGACCCTGTGCAACTGCACGGGTCTCACACCCATGAAGCCAGCCTCACTGATGTCTTAGTTCAAGGAATTTTTTATAGTGTTGAGTTCAAGAGACAAAATAGACAAAAATTTAAACCTCTTTGGATTATAATACTTCTTCTTTAGAAATATTGATACCTTTCCAAGGCTTACGGTCAAGGTTTCTTAATTGAAGACTTTTTCTTTCCCCCATAAGTGACTTTAAAAAACTTTGCTGTGCTCTAATACATGTGGATTTATATTTAAGTTTTAATTCTTTGGAAGAGTCATTATTTCCAGAAATAGTGAGTAGGAGTGGGGGGTTCAGAGTTACAACTTACACCATATAATCTTGTAATTTTTACTCTTCAATGGTACTTTCAATATTGTATCTATCATTGCATTTTAAAAACATTCAAAAGTGTCATTTACTGTCATAATGTTCTGAAATGCACATGTTATCAGTGGTTGAAGTTTATGAAAGAGTGAGGACTAGAACTCAAAACTCATGACTTTTCTTTGTGTCTCTCACCACTGAAACAGGCTGTATAAATCTGCAATTGTACCAATAATAGTAAAGACATTCTGAATCATTTATGAAGATCAATGGTTACATTGCCTTTGAATAGAATATGGGTCATTGATTGGTTTCCACTTACTAATTTGGTAATTTAAAAATTACTTTCCTATTGTCTGTTCCTATTGCAGCAAGGTTAATCAATAGAATGTACATATAGTCAATTTTTGTCCCACTGTCACGACTCCCTCTCTGGGAAGGCACTAATTAGAGAGAATGGCTGAAATTTTTAAGGATCATTACCTACAGTGTTTCAGTGCATGTAAAAGGTTTTCCCTGCTTCTGAAAGTAGCATTACTATGGAAGTCATAGGAAAAAAATAAAATGTCTCCAGGGTTTTTATTCAGGGATGATTATGAACCTTTTAAACACTAAATTAAAAAAAAAAAATGGAACCTGTGGAAATTGAAACACCGAACATCAGTCGTTTCAGACACCATGAATGTTAGCAGGATATGTATGTAAAAGATTAAAAATATATAATCCGTCTGTATGTTGCCTACAAGAGACACACCTTAGACACAAAGACACAAAAAACTAAAATGTAAAAGATTAAAAATATATATTTATTTTGTATATTAATCTCTATGCATATCTAAAGTCTTTTTATTCCTTTAATTAATGGCAACTGTTACAAATAGCACATAAAAATATAGTGTAGCTTGCACATGAAAATGGATTGTATTTTCCATGGGGCATTAGATCCAATGGGATAATATGAGATAGGCCACAAAATAGATTGTAATGCGAAGATCCAGGAATTGAAAAGAACAGAAACCTTTGTCAGGATAAATTAATGCCAAATGTCTTCAATATTTGAGTCCTATTCATTTGCCTGGAATAGATGAAATATCTCTCCTATCCTCTCCCTGTCTCAGCTTAGGGACAGAATCCTTGGGATCAGAAACTAAGAGCCAACCTAAGACAAAGGAGTTTATGGTTTGTAACAATACACTACCACTGAAACTGGGACTACAGAGTTGCAGGAACCAAGACAGTGAGGAAGCACGATTGCTCCTAGTTCTCTTTAAGATTCAACATGGTCTTTCAATGAAACAATGAATATCAGTTGCTTAGCACATTATACTAAAAATATAAATTAGTATTTGGCCATTTTAAATTCTAGGTTGCCTTGTGATAACCAGGCAACAATAAAAAATTGGATACATGGATCAAGATCTCAGTAACAAGATGCTAATTTAGCCAGTTAGAACAGCTTCCTCCAAGATTTGAACTATGGGATATGAAATATGGAAAGGATATTGAGTGAATAATGAATGGATAACAGAACAGACCTACATACAGAAGCAGACAGAAGTACAGTATCTATATCTGAGCTGGAACAGAGTAGAATATTCAAGAAAGGAGTCCCTGGGTGGTGCAAACTGTTAATATATTTGACTAACCGAAAGGTTGGAGGTTTAAGTTCACTCAGAGGGTCAGCAAAAGAGGGGAAGACCCTCAAAGTGATGGATTGACACAGTGGCTGCCAAAATGGGTTTAAGCGTAATAACAATTGCAAGGATGGCACAGGACCAAGCAGTGTTTCATTCCATTATACATAGGGTCACTATGAGTTGGAACAAACTCAATGGCACCTAACAACAACAGAGAGGTACCTCCAAATAAAGACATAGCAATCTACTTCCAAAAAAGTGGGCATTGAAAACCCTATGGAGCACAGTTCTACTCTGACAAACATAGGGTTGCCATGAGTCAGAGTCGACTCAATAGCAGCTGTTTATTTTTTTGTTTTTGTTTTTTATACAAGAAAAGAACAGGATTGGGGAACTGGTAGGAAGACGTCATAATTCTCACCTTTTCATCCCCCCCACCTCTCGTATTTATTAGCTCAATGAATGTAGCCTGACCTCCCTCACATCTCTGTTTATCCCTTCTGCTGCTACCAGAACAATTCTTCTAAAACAGAAGCTTCCCTATATCATTCTCCAGTGGCTTTAAAACCCACCAATGGCTACACACAATTTCTTTTCCAAACTTCCTGTCATGTGAAGCCTATAGCTCTCAAACCTCGGCTTACCTCAACAGCTTAATATCTAGCCATCTCCCTCACTTTTTACGTTCTATTCTTCATACATATTGAACCCACATTTCTGCAAATATGCCTTGTCTTTCTTGCCTTGGATCCTTTGCACATCCTTGTATTTCTTTCTGACCATTCCACTGGCCCACTAAAGTTGAAACATTAAGGGCAGAAAGCATCTCTTACTTCTCTCTATTTCAGGTGCCTGGCACAGCACAAGGCATGCAGAGGTGGGAATGATACCGCCCCTCCCCAGCAGGTGGTAAATTCTTTAAGTGTAATAACCATATGTATTTCATCTTTATGCCCCTCACAGTGTCTTTAGCAAAATACCTTTAGCAAAATACCCTATACTTAGTTTCCTCAATAAATTCTTGCTGAATTCAGTGGAAGTAGTGATAGATCTATAAACCCCTATAATCATTTGAAATAGGGATATTATATTTCAAGTGTTACAAAATGGCTATAGACGAACCATATGTCGATTATGGAGAATGAATATGCCATAAAGTACACATATGATAGCAAGAACACAACATTACTGTATTAGTAAATGTGAGTCATGTAAAACTAATATGCTAGCAATAAATGTGAATCAAGCATTCAATTAACGATTTGCTTCCCCTTTGGAAACTTAGAATGGTTTGAAGGGGATTATTTGGGCCTCTTAAAAGCACTTTCCTGGTAAATTTTAAAAAGTATTCTTTTCTCTCCATTAATTTCTCTAAAGTGTACCAAGGCCAGCAAAATTACTTTATTGACCTCAAAGTTTTGCTCTTTCATTCAAGAAGGAGCATTGCAGAGCATTAGTGAACCTACGTGCAAACACATACAATCTGTCATGCTTTCTTTAAGAAGGCTTTGGGCCCTCTTCTCCTCTGCCAGAATTCTAGGTGTATTCTAGATTCTCTAAAAAGGATTTTAAACACACACACACACACTCGCACACACACACACAGGTGCTGAGATGCAGATCACACTTATTCCTATGGATCTGTTCTGGGATAGTGTGGAATCTAGACACTTTCTTAGTAATTCTAGGAACATGTCTTGGGATACTAGAGCTATCTTGACCACCCTCATAATTTCATAGAGACTCTGTGTAAAACAAGTCTGTAAGTGCCGCAGGTCAGAAATCACATCTATCTTGATCATTGTTCTTTGTATTGCCTGGTACTAAATACAGGACATAGTAGCTACTCAATAAATATTCATTCATTGAGAGAAGGGAACACAGCTTTATAGGAATGAGGATATGCATGCTTCCTAGTAATTGTGGTGGCTTTCAGAGATATTTTGAGGAAAAAGTAAAGACTATGGTGCTTGTTGTTGTTGTTGTTAGGTGCCGTCGAGTTGGTTCTGACTCATAGTGACCCTACGTACAACAGAACGGAACACTGCCCGGTCCTGCACCATCCTCACAATCGTTGTTATGCTTGAGCCCATTGTTGCGGCCACTGTGTCAATCCATCTTGTTGATGGTCTTCCTCTTTTTCACTGACCCTCTACCAAGCATGTTGTCCTTCCCCAGGGACTGATCTCTCCTGATAACATGTTCAAAATATGTGAGATTTTTTTTCCCCCAGAGTGTAGGACTTTTTAATTTGTCCCAAAGTCGCTGAAGCAAAAATCATGATAAAACATTCTGCTTTCCTTTATACCCTCCAACGCAAAAAACTGTTTGTAGGAGAAAAACGGTCTTGTACATGGGATGAAACTTAATATAAATTCAAAACTCACAGATGAGGGTTAGCTCTATCAGTCATCTCTTTAAAATTTTACATGAATATCCAGTCAAAATCAACAGGGCATCTCCCTTGAAATGTTATCTGTATGGATTTCCAAGTAGACCACAGGTCTGTCAGCTGTCTCAGAATGTCCTCAGAAGGCTCTGTCATGATCAGGTAACAGAGCAAGAACCCTAGGGTCCTTTTTTTCAAGTGGAAGAGGGAAAAACAGAGGGACAGAAGAACTATTCAAACTTTGTCTTCTTTCCTTGTGGTTTATGGTCTCCTCCTCCTCTGCCTCATCAAAAGCCTCCTCACCCTCCAAAGCATCCCTGGTCTCTGCCCCTGAATCCACCTCGGCCTTCTCTGCTGTGGCTGCCTCAGCCTCCAAATCCTCCACTGCCTCCACATCAACCCTTGAAGCCACCTTCGTCCTTAGGGTTGGCTCAGTCCAAGGTAACTTTGTTTCCATCAATTTCACTATCTTCCATAGCTTCCTTGACAGCTTTAGCAATCTTCCTCGCTGTTGAAGTCTACGAAACCAAACCCTTTGGAGGAGCCAGTTTCCTGGTCAGTGACTATCCTGGCGCAAACAGAGCCATAAAATGACTCCTTCAATGTCTTCTCGGTGGTGTCCTCAGACAGGCCTTTGACAAAGAGAGTTTTGGATGGCTGGCTTCTTGTGTTAGGTGATGCCCTGTATCCTTGCAACTCCAACCTGATTGCTCTGCCCTCAATTTCTCTCTTATTACAAGAATTTAACACTTCTTTAGCATCTTCAAATGAAGCAAATTCTATAAATGCATACCCTTTAGATTTGCTGTTTTGGTTCAGGGGCACCTTGATAGCTGTTGCTTTCTCAAACACTTCCTGAAGAATTTCTTCTGTTGCATTGTAGGAGAGGTTGCTTAAAATCAGAGTTTTGGATTCACCACTCCAAATGCTAGCCTTTCCACTTCTGTTGTCCTTAGTCACTGAAAAACAAAAAACAAAAAAACGAACTGTATTTGCACTAATCCAGTGGTAGTTAGGGAAGGAAATGTTATCCAAGAGGCATTCAATATAACAAGATGCAATGTCAATACATAAATAGTTTACCACCTATCTGTCAGTTTGTTATATTGTGGTAGCTTATGTGTTACTACGATGCTAAAAGCTATGCCACTGGTATTTCAAATACAAGCAGAGCCACCCATACTGGACAGGTTTCAGCAGAGCTTCCAGACTAAGACAGACTAGGAAGAAAGGCCTGGTGAACTACTTCCTAAAATTAGTCAAAGAAAACTTTACAGATCACAACAGGGTATTGTCCGATATAGTGCTGGAAGATGAGCCCCCTGGGCTGGAAGGCACTCAAAATACACAGGATCTGCAACAATGAACTCTAGCATACCAATGATCATGAAGATGGCGCAGAACCAAGCAATGTTTTGTTCTGTTACACATGGGGTCACCATGAGTCAGAGCCAACTCAACAGCAACTAGCAACAACAACAACAAACATAGATGGCATTTGACCTTAGAGGGACTAAAAATATAATAGTGAAGAAAGGCCATATAATAACAGATACTTTATTAGACCAATTCTAAGATACATATGCTTTCACATTTTAACATTTGCAAAATAAGAATTCATTTCAAAACTAATGATATTTATTGAAATCAGCAAGGAGATCTTAAGGAGGTTGTTCTTTATTAGAATACAATAAGGAAGACATCATCTGAAGAAATGGCTTCAAAGCCGTTAAGTAGGGAAGTGATTTTGTGTGAGTTTTTGGGGGACAGAATACTTCTGAAGGCAAATAGCAAAAATTCCGAGAATGGCAAGTAAAGTTTCAATCATTCTAACATGTAAGTTCTCATCAAAGAGAATATCATTTGCCATGAGCAAGAAAAAAAGAAGCCCAGCAATTTTTCTTGAGAAAAATGCCAGTGGTCATTTCTTACTAACTTAGCTCTAACTTAGCGACAGGTGGAATTTTCCAGCAGGGGTGAAAAATGCCCAGGAAAACATTACAAGAACAAGAATATTCAAGATATCTCAGGAAAATGCAGTCTTTCACATCTTATAGTCATTCCTAACCAGGTCTCAGCTATGACACAGATGCCAATGCCCGCATATAAGTGAATTTGGTCAGAGCTGTTCATATTGTCATTTCATTTGAGTTATGTCTGTAGCACAGGTGTTGCATTTAGTTGCCATTTAAAATATCTTTAAGAATTATATTATTATTCTGTGTTGGAATGAAAAGTTATTGTGTGTTCAAAAAGGCCCAGAAACCACGCAAGCAAGACATATATTTAATAGTCCAGAAGCAAATATCCATCCTAAAAAGAATGAATACAATCATTTGTTTTCTTGTGAAGTAAAATGTGATTTATTGGAGTTAAGGAAGAAAGCTCATGCAACGATATATAGATATGTTACCTTTTGCGTCTATTGATGCTGTGATGGTTAACTTATGTGTCAGCTATGGTGTCCAGTTGTTTGGTCAAACACATGTCTAGATGTTGTTATGAAGGTATTTACATGTGATTAATGTTTAAATAAGTTGACCTTAAGTAAAGCAGATTACCTTCCACAGTGTGGTTGGGCCTCATCCAACTAGTTGAAAGTCTTAAGAGCAAAAACTGAGGTTTTCCAAGGGAGAATAATTCTGTCTCAAAAATTCTGCTTATAACATGTGGAAGTTTCTAGTCCATCACTTGGCCTATCAATTTTGGACACAAGACTGCTGCTAGAGTTTCCAGCCTGTTGGGTTGCCTGACCTATGGATTTTAGCCTCATGGCCTCCACAATCTCTCTCTCTCTCTCTTTCTATTGCTCTCACTCTTGTTCTTGCTCTCGCTGTCACTCTCTCCATATATGTATATACATATATGTGTATGTATGTATATCTATCTATCTGTCTGGAGCCCTTTTAAGAGCTGGGCTGCTAACCAAAAGATTGGTGTTCAAATCCACCAGCCACCCCTTGGAAACCCTTTGGGGCAGTTCTATTCTGTCCTGTAGGGTTGCTATGAGTTGGGATCAACTCGATGGCAACAGATTTGGTTTGGTTTATCTATCTGTCTGCCTGTCTGCCTATCTATCTATCCTAACATGCCAAGCAAGAAAGTGCCAGCATCAGATTTTGCAGAACAGGTGCCAGAAGCTTGGGAGACAATTCCAGAAACTATAGTGGAGCACTTTTAAAAGAAATGTCACTTTACTAATGCTCCTAATGACACAGAAAACTGTTATTTTGTGACAAAACACAGACAGATAGCAACAACTTGATGTTTAAAAGGGATACAGAAAAGTTGGACTCTAAACGTGAAATTGTTTTAACAATATTAAGCAACTTATTTCACCAATGTTTTCCTTTAAAATATACACAGATATGATGTATAGCAATACATCTAAGATAAAAAGGTATTAAAAAACCCATTGCAATAAGTATAAAATAAAAATTCTAAGAGATAAAATATTGTGTCATAGTTTAATGGGTAGCATGGTTTTTTTCTTTGTGAGTTAGATGGCATCTTACATCAATAAACCCAAACCAAACCCACTGCCATCGAGTCGATTCCAACTTACAGTGACCCTTACATCAATAGCCCTTAGATCCTATTTATATTAATACTGGCTGGGTCCTGAAGTACATGGAAAAATCCTAGGGGTGGAGCGGGAGAGAGAATCATTTATCAGAAATACAATATCCAACATTGGTGGTGAAAGGAAGAAAGATGGATGAGCTAGAAAAAGACTCAAACAGATTGAAAAGCAAATTTCCAAGCGACTTAAATATAACAAGACCGCTGTCGCTAATACAGTTAAATAAACAGCTTGAGCTGGTCCCAAAAGCTCTTCCAGGTTTAGAGTTCAGTCTTCGGGGTGTTTACCCTTACTGAAAAATGGCCTGTTTTAAAGAAGTCATCTGGTGGCACAATGGTTAAGCGCTCAGCTGCCTACAGAAAGATCTGAGGTTGGAACTGACTAGCGGCTCCTCAGGAGGAAAGACCTGGTGATCTGTTCCTGTAAAGAGTGCAGCCTAGAAAACCCTATGGGGCAGTCCTACTCTGTTCTATAGGGTCAACTATGAGTCAGAACTGAGTCGATGGCACACAACAACAGACCCTCTTCAGCGGAGCTTTGGAGAAAACACACGAAGCAAAGAGGGGAGAAATGAATACAGCTCATCTTCATTGCTTGTTGATTTCATATTTGCTAACACACTCGAGGGGCTTTCTTGGTCATCTGTAGACATGGGTACGTGCAGAGGGGCCAAGAAATTCTAAGCTGAGGTCAAACAAAGCAGATTTGCTCTTTGTTAATTCAGTGTTCCAGGGGACTTTATAGATCATAACTACCACAAATAATGACAATTGACTATACATACAGAGGCAGCTGGATTATCTAAATTAGCCCTGTTGCTTCTTGCAGTGTTAGAAGTTGCAGTCATATTGTGATGCTTTTCACATTGTAATGGCACTTGTTGCTGTTCTGTCCCAGCACGCAGCCCAGGGATAGTACTGGATTCCTGCTACAGCTTACTTCATCCTATCTGGAGGTGGCACATGGGTGGGTAAACTGTCCTTTTTAAAGTAGTAGAACATGCCTTTTGTGGTTGTTTTAGACCTCTTTCAACACTAGGGCGGCCTTTCACTGTGCTACAAAATTAACTCAGACTGGTTTTCATGACTCTACATTTTTCATCTCCTCTGGGTTGCCACACCCTCTGGGAATCAGTCTAGCTCTAAATGACTCAGGCAATGAGGCTTCTTCCATTTCTTCCCCTGGGAAACTAATGTACAGTCTAATAGACTGTTAGGAAAATGTTTCTGATATTCAGCCTACATTTTCTTTTCCTTAATTGCATCCCATTACTACATTCTAAACAATTTTTCTTCCTCGTTTATACCCTACAGATTCTTGTCTAGAACCATTTCAATTTGGCCAAGCTTTATAAATTGAATTGTTTTTTGTTCTTCGTTTCTACTGGAGGCCAACTTTCTTGTTTCTAGTTTACTTGCTTGATATTCTGCAAATTCCCTTGCTGCTGGCTACTACTAAGATAGTCAAAAGAGTACCATTTACTAAGGGTTGTCTGACCAGGCAGGCATAGGAAACACTGTTATCTTCTTATTCTGAACGCAAAAATTCTGTCAATATCATGTGGGCTGTATACTACCATTCCGATTTTTTTTTAAACCAGGTAAGCCCATTGTCTAAGTTATTATTTCCGTTGACATATAAGTTTTTAAAATTGATATTCCTCAAATTGTGTATCTTTCTCTAAATCATATTTTGATCTCTCTTACATATTTCTGTCTTACTTTACATTATTGTTTTGTTTTACATGTCTCTGTCTTATATTGGAGCCCTGGTGGTACTGTGGTTAAGAGCTTTGCTACTAACTAAAAGGTCGGCGGTTCTAACCCACCAGCCTCTCATTCGAAGCCCTACAGGGCAATTCTGCTCTGTGCTATAGAGTTGCTATGAGTTGGAATTGATTCATCAGCAAGGGGTTTGGTTTTGGTTTCTGTCTTATACTATTGTTTTGTGCCCTGCATTCCTTTTAGTAGATCACATTTACCAATAAACATTAACTAATGGCAGCTTAGCCTGATTTTATGGCTAATTTAATAAAGCATAACCTGCTTATAAATAATTCAAATACACTCTAAAACAAGTATCAATAGTGTCAAAACTGCTTATTACTAAATGTTTTTTCTTATTTATGATATATTAAAAATTATATAACACCTTTAAATGTGTGCTGTCAATTTCACATTTATTACCTTGGTTAACCTCAATCTTAACTCTGTGAGTGAGTTCCATGATTGCTTTGAGCCCCAAGAGTTAGTAAATGGCTGTGCAGTGATTCTCTC